TAGCAGAGCAACTTTAATGAAGTCCCAGGTTATTTTCTCTCATTAGCTCTTATCACAGGCAGGGCAAAGCTATTTCTTACTGCGATGGGGAAGTACTAATGAGATGTGTTAATAAGGCTGCAGGGACTCTGTTTGAACACAAGACTTTGATAAATTAGGGGACCACAAGAAAAATGTCTCATGCTATTGTCCAATCAGACTATGGGTTAGGTCTGGTGAAGCAGAATGAAGCTTACTGCAATCTTGAAGTGTCATCATGCAAACCAAGTGCAAGGGGTGTTGTTAAATTCCTTATCAACACATTTAATTAGTGACCTTATTAAATACTTCCCAAACTGCTACCTTTTCCAAAACAAATAAGTCTCCAGTGGGTGATTTCATATGTTTTAACTACTCTGAAAACTTGTGGAAAGCAATTACTCCAGCATGATGACAGGCTCTGGTTCACCAGGAAACTTATGTCTGTTCATTCTGGCACCTTCCTCTCATGCTTTGTATGAAACTGAGAGTGAATTTCAAGGGCACGGACTGTCATCTGTCTCCTCTGTCTTAGAGCCTGCACCTCATGTTTTGATGGCAGTGACATGGTGATGCAGCCTGTGCTATGGCCTCGCACACAGTGGTCCCACCTGTGGCCAAGTTTTGCCGTCTGCCCCTCAAACACCAAGTGCCACAGAACAGGGGAAGAGGAGGAGCACCAACTGTCCAGGCAGAACCCTTCTAGAATCCTCATAAGAAAAGCCTCACTCCAGACCAGTGTAACCAGATAAAAAAATATGTTAATGCAGTGTTCAAACAGAAAACCTGAGGTCTCAAACTGCGTAAATATTGCAAAGTGTATGGCTTTCCTTAAATCATTAACTCATCTAGGTTGTGCCCACTGTGCACTCTCCCTTCTCTACAACGCATTAATACCCATTCAACATGAAAGAAAATACTATATACACTCAAATGTTCTACAAAAATCTTTTACTTCTGTATTTTTTGACCATCTTTGTTATCTATAGCTCTACTTGCACTCTACTCCATCTAAAGATCTAATTCAGAAAAAGACTATATCTACCTGTAAGCACTTTTTGATTAGTCTGTTTCCATTAAACATGGCCTAAATTTTATAAACTTCTATGACAAAATGACTGGCCTGGTAGATGAGGGGGGAGCAGTGGTTATTGTCTACCTAGACTTCAGCAGGGCTTTTGATGCTGTGTCCCATAAGCTTTTCATAGAGAAGGTAATCAAGTGTGGGCTGGATGAACAGACAGTGAAATGGATTAAAAACTGGCTGAACCGCCAGGCCCAGAAGGTGGTGATCATTGGCACAAAGTCTAGATGGAGGTCAGCAACTAGTGGTGAACCCTAGAAACTAACACTGGTTCAAATCCTGTTCAACATCTTCATTAATGATCTGGATGATGGGGCAGAGTGTACCCTTCCAACATCTTGTGATTCTGTGATACTATGAAATTTAATTCCCATAATTTTTACTGAGTCTTGCATAATATTATATAGTCTTACATAACGAGATTTTTTCCAACTAAATTTAATTACCATCTTTTACAGTTTTTTCAATAAGATCTTTTCACATTTATGCTGCCACTTTAAATCCAACCAACTGCATGTGTAATTGAAAGTGTTTTTATAAGATGACTATGCAATAGGCTTTGTAAAATAAATTAATTTCCTGAGGCTAGATCCATAGGTAACTTAAGTGGTGGGAACTCCACAGCCCACTCCTAGATGTTTCAACTTCTTATTTCCCATAGGTATAGGAAAAGTCAATCTCCTTAAGCACTTAGTCCCCACAGCATACTGACTAAAAGATATCTGTCAGTTAAAGAGAGGTCACTGAAAACAGAGTGGGTCCTATACCTTTTGGATTTCCTCAGCTACCAATAAGAGAAAACAACTCTATAAGAAATTGAACTTGTCTTTTACAAGACATGTCTTGTAAACTTGTCTTTTTACAAGAAATTGAACTTGTCTTTTACTCTTTATTGCTGTGATTTCTGCTTTACTGAAGTCAGCACAGAGGAGTAAGAGTGGTTAGTAATAAGTAATGAAATCATTCTCTTCAATCAATAATTAAGAACAATATGGAAATGATAAGGTACAACATGAAGGAAACTCATAGGCTGTAATACATCTAAACTGGTTTACCAATGAAAATAATGACTACAACAACTCTCCACACTGCATTTGCAGTACAGCAGTGCCTTGTGTGACTCTCAAAGACAACTTCTAAGGTCCTTCCTGTAGTCTTGTTTCAAATCAGTTAAACATTTTCTTTTATAAATGTTTAAGTTCCCATATGTTAGTTAGCAATTTCTGCACATTTTGTTTCTGAAAGATGAGGTGTCAAACTGTTCCCCTATCACTGTCTCCTGTCCCAAGCTGAAAGGAGGATCAATGGTGAGGCATGTGGGACACTGCTTTCTGAAGATAATGCTTTTTCAGGTGTAGCCTCTTTCCACAGATGTATTTTCAAAATCTAATCTAATTATGTCTGCACAGATTTCTGCAAAGATTTATGTTTCAGTAACTTCCTTTAATAAAGGATCATCTATGTGGAGCTTGTGTATCTTTCCTGTGATTACTTAAAGTTACTAGACATGTCTGTGTCAAAAACACTGGCAGATCTCAAAATATTTCTGCTGTACAAGCTGACAAAATGTTATTATTTTTGAAGTCTGTAAATTATTCTGTTGTAGATATTTGCATTTTACTTCCAACAGAAAATGTCCTTATTTGTCTTTAATACAACTGCCATAAAGGTAGACCCCTTTAAATGTTCTCACTTGTCCCTTAAATAATTTTAAAAAACATGTTTATTTTCTACTCTGTTCTTATGATATACTGTATATCACATTCGATAAAAATCCAGTCTCTGTTGAATAGTAGAGATTTGGATTTGTAATGCATCTTCATTACACATGCATAAGGGTCAGCATTAAATCTGAATATCCATCTCTGACCTCAGAGGACTACGCTTATTCACATTAACAGTGATTTAATTTTGTCTTTTTATTTCTTTATAAATAATAGATTGTCCAATAAGAGATGATAAATTGGCCTAAATGAACACTTCTTTTTATCAGTTTCTTTTTATCGATTTCTTCAATGTATAGGGAAGACTTTTCTGTACATTGTGAGAAAGCTGTGGATACAACCAGCATGAAAATGCTGTTGCAGCTCATTAAATTACAAAAGGGTAATCTTCTTCAAGGTTACTAAATATTTAATTTCTAAGTTTCATTGAAATGCTAATTATTAAAAAATGTGAAAGAATGTATTGACCACTAAAACAGGTGAAAATCAAAACCGCTTTCTTTCACTTATACCTTCAGCCTCTCCTCACAAAGACTCATCTGAGTATGACTTGTATCTATCTTAAGTCACCAAAATAGTTCCCATGTGCACGAGGGTAAATTAATTAATAGAGTAAACAAAAATAATGGTCTTGGGAATACAGTTCCCATATGCATGAGGGTAAATGAATTAATAGAGCAAACAAAAATAATGGTCTTGGGAATACAGGCACTTGGCTTTGTTTAGCTCCTGTTGATGTAAACTCTTAAATTATATACATATTTTTAGCTCAGAACCTCCTGGGACTTAAATGTAATGTCATAAAAGAAAAGTAAATTCCCCTCCTTTATTAATCTGAGCCAAGTTACAGAGGAGGACCACCTTTTACTGACATTGCAGTTTTGCAGGACAATAACAAAATAGGAAAATGTCTACTTAAACAATTTATTGATGGCATTATTAAAACAGATGCAGGTAGGACTAGCTTTTAAAACTGACTGCCAAACACTCTTCTTAATCTTTTAATGCTCTATTTCTGTGTTTTCTTCATTCTGGGGTGATACTTAGTGGAAAAAGTCAGTGGACTGAACTGTTTCCCAAGTTCCTTTTAAGTGGGTTAAATTGCTGTGGAGTGCCTCTTTCTGCTTCTATTTGTAAGTTTGCTCTTAGTCCAAACCAAGCTATCAGGAAAAGAGGTGAAAGAAGTCAGTCTGGTTCTCCCTAGATAAATCAAAGAAATTTTTTGACCATTGAAAATATTCACTAATGTATTCATTTATGACCACTGCTGCTGCTGGACCACAGTCTATTACTGGAGACAAGACTCAACCTGTCTCCATTCCCTTTTAGTTACTGAAATTGCAATGATAGATAACAAGTGTGTATACAGGGAAAGAAAAGAATATTTCTTATGGTACCAGTTTTAGCACTGCTTTCCATAAGCTGTATTCATTGCTAGTATTTCCTAATCCACAGCAGGTGAGTTCAACGTCATGAATAATTTGGAAAACGGGGTTAAGGCAGCTGTTTTGTGACTTAGGGTGAGCATTTACGTGAATAGTTCATTAACTGAAACCTCAAAGAAACCTGAGGTATATCAGCTTGCATAACATTTCTCCTACAAAGATCAACATTTTAAGACTGAAGAGAAAAATATATCCTATATAGTATTGACACACTGAAGTGAGTTGATGGTTTTCTTTGTCTATGTAACTTTTTCTCCTAACATTTTAAAATTGCTAATATTATGATGTATATAAAATACAAGAACCATATTTCACAAAATTCTCCAGATGCAATTGAATGTAAAAGATAAACTTGTTGTTATCATACAATTTAGCTAATTAAAGAGTTAAATAAGCTTACTTTCAGTGGCTTTGTTTTTAATATTATATGCAATGAAGTATATAGTAGCTTTGAGGTATCAATTTCATGCACCATTCCAGAAAAATAGTGGGTTGCAGTTGGTCCCTATTTAAGCCAAGAGAAAGTTTGCTCCTGAATTACTGCATCTCACTTACTAACTGAGTTCATGCCCTTGACTTATGTTATCTTGTACTCTCACATTAGGATTTGGAACCCTTCAGAAACTTGTGAAAATTAAATCTGCCTATGGAACGGCATCTCCAGTAGAAAAGTCTATTAAAGGATTGACTATGCTTTCTCCAAATATCTCAAGGGATTTGACTGATTGCTCTGAGTTTGGAAATAGATCCTGTCCTGAGAGCTTTAGGTCAACAGGAGTACGAGCAGTAATGTATCTATTCATAACAGCAGCCTTCATTCTCACTGTCTTAGGGAACTTGGCCATAATTGTTTCCATCTCTTATTTCAAGCAGCTTCATTCTCCAACCAATTTCCTCATCCTGTCTCTGGCCATCACGGATTTCCTGCTGGGCTTTGCCATCATGCCCTACAGCATGGTGAGGTCTGTGGAGAACTGCTGGTATTTTGGGATGACGTTCTGCAAACTTCATTACAGTTTCGACCTGATGCTCTGCTTGGCTTCCATTTTCCATCTTTGTTCCATTGCCGTGGATCGGTTTTACGCCATCTGCCACCCTCTGTATTATGCCAGCACCATCACTGTCATGGCTATAAAACAAATCGTAGTAGTGTGCTGGTCAGTGCCCGCTTCTCTTGCTTTTGGTGTGGTTTTCTCAGGAGCTTACGCTTCTGGAATTAAGGGCTATGAAATGCTGGTTAAATGCGCAAGCTTGTGTCCTATTTTCTTCAACAAACTGTGGGGGGTTCTTTTATTTACAGTTGGTTTATTTGTTCCTGCTTGTATTATGATAGGGATTTATGTTAAAATTTTTACAATCTCCCAAAGGCATGCATGTGAGTTGAGCCAGGTACATGGGCACACAAAGAGGGATAAGAGAAATGAGCTTTCTAAGAGTAAAGATAGGAAAGCTGCCAAGACTTTGAGTATAGTTATGCTGGTTTTCTTAATATGTTGGTTTCCTTGCTTTTTCACAATCTTGATAGATCCCTTTTTAAATTTCTCTACACCTTTACCTTTGTTTGATGCTCTAAACTGGCTTGGATATTTAAATTCTTTCTGCAACCCATTAATATATGGATTTTTCTATCCGTGGTTTCGAAAAACATTTAAATATATCTTAAAAGGCAAAATACTTAACCCACGTTTTCGTACAATAAAACTTTTTTCTGAAGATCAGTCACAGTAGTAGAGTCTACTACTGAAAGCAGCTCTTGAAATGAAGAAAAAAAGGTGGGTTACTGAATATCGATGGTTCAACAAAAGCCTGAGATGCACAATATGAATTTTATGAGTCAGTCCTGCAGAATTATCTCATCAAGTATTTCTTTAATAAAATCAGACTAATTTTATATTATATTTATTTGCCACTTGTGTTCACTCTTAATGCCTTGATAGTGTTTCAGATGTTTTAAGTCTTTCTGGAATCTCTTAATGCATTGGGTATTTTTTAATTTCAGAGGGTATTTCCATACAGTCTGTAAACTAAGTATTTCACCTCATCTTGTGTGCAGGCTGCTAATCTTTCTTGAGGTTCACCATCAATAATCTCCTAAACTGAATACATCTCAGGCTAACAGATATTTGCTGGAAGGCCTGCACAGCCAGCCATCCTCAGTCCAGGAGGTTCCTCCAGTGCATCGACAATAATTTCTTGGTGTAAATGGTGAATGAGCCAACCAGGAGAGGAGCGCTGCTGGACCTTGTGCTCACCAGTAAGGAAGGTCTGGTTGAAGCAGTGAAGGCTGCAGTGACCATGAGATGGTGGAGTTCAGGATCTTGTGCAGTAGGAACAGAAAATCAAGCAGGATCGTGACTCTGGACTTCAGAAGGGCCAACTTTGGCCTTTTCAAGCAAGGGGAAACCCCATGGGACAGAGAACTGGAAGGTAAAGGGGCCCAAGAGAGCTGGTCAGTATTCAAGGACCACTTCTTCCAGGCTCAAGATCAGTGCATCCCAACAGGTAGGAAATCAAGAAAGAGATCCAGGAGACCTGCATGGTTAACCAGGGTTCTGCTGGGCAGACTTAGGTGGAAGGGGAGGGTATATAAATTGTGCGCGGAAGGGCTGGCCACTTGGGTGAAATATAGGACTGCTGTCAGAGAATGTAGGGAGGCAATTAGAAAAGCTAAGACCTCCTTGGAATTAAAACTTGCGAGGGAGGTCAAGGACAACAGAAAGGGCTTCTTCAAATACATTGCCAATAAAACTAACGCTAGAGGCAATGTAGGCCCTCCGGTGAATGAGGCAGGTGCCCTGGAGGCAGAAGACAGAAAGAAGGCAGAGTTACTGAATGCCTGCTTTGCCTCTGTCTACAATGTTGGAGATTGCCCTCAGGTGCCTCAGTCCCCTAAGGCCTCAGAGGAAGTCAGGATAAAGGAGGAATTTGCCCTGGTTGAGGAGGACTGGGTTAGGGATCAGTTTGAACACTTGAACATCCATAAATCCTTGGGCCCTGATGGGATGCACCCGTGGGTGCTGAGGGAGCTGGCAGGAGTCATTGCTAGGCCACTCTCCATCATCTTTGGTAAGTCGTGGACAACAGGTGAGATGCCTGAAGACTGGAGGAAAGCAAATGTCACTCCAGTCTATAAGAAGGGCAGGAAGGATGACCCGGGTAACTACAGACCGGTCAGCCTCACCTCTATCCCTGGAAAGCTGATGGAACATCTTATCCTTGGCACTGTCTCTAGGCATATCAAGGATAAGAAGGTTACTAGGAGCAGTCAGCATGGCTTTGCCAAGGGGAAGTCATGTTTGACCAACCTGATGGCCTTTTATGAAGACATAACCAGGTGGATGGATGGTGGCCAGCATGGCTTTGCCAAGGGGAAGTCATGTTTGACCAACCTGATAGCCTTTTATGAAGACATAACCAGGTGGAGGGATGATGGCCATGCAGTGGATGTGGTCTATCTGGATATCAGTAAAGCATGTGACATCGTCTCCCACAGCATCCTCATAGGTAAACTGAGGAGTGTGGTCTGGATGACCGAATAGTGAAGTGGGTCGCAAATTGGTTGAAGGGAAGAAGT